ATTGTACTGGCAGATGTGTACAGTCAGAATGTGATTTGAAGGTAATAGTTAAATCTTTGGAAGGCAATGAGATGCAGACTTCCATCAGCTATTGTAGTCACCCAGGTAAACAAGAGCGCCTACGTTACCACAGCTATACTAATTCGTCAATTCATTTGGTAGTCGTTCAAATGAAAACCGTCTCCCAAGTTCATCATTAGCCATCTTGTCTGCTTAGGTCGCTTACCCACCCACAATTCAACCCGCAGTGGCTTAGAAGCGTATTTGCAGTCGTCCATGGTTTCCATAGAGGTATATGACGAGGAAGAAGCCCTGATTAGGCCTCCATTTAAATTAATTTACAAAATTAAACAAGAGATTGCGATTGTTGAACACGAGTGCTTTTCTCAATAAGATGTGGACAATCCGTGTCTTGTAGTTGTCGGTCCAAATTATTGCCGAGCAAAGGTAAATAATATAACTCCTTAACAATATAACTCGGGAAACCTCCTTACACCTCGGACATTTGTTGGTAAAATGGATGCGAAAAATAAAACACATAATGTATCAAAACAATTGCTAACCGGTCGTAACTGAAAGTGACATTCTTTCAGGCAGTGGTTAGCTTACTTATGGAAATGTAAGTGGGGTTACACGCTTTGAAAATTTGCTTAAATTCAGTCAGAATGTGGATACCAAGGAGGCAACTTGGTTTGAACATAGTTTGAGGCTTGCAGAGAAGAGACACAAAAAACCACTTCATTACTGCCCTTACAACTGGGCCAGACTTAAAGAGTTCGCATTTGAGAGCATGAAAATTCTCGTTGGAGTGATTATCTATGCGCAGCTTCCTTTAACTCATCTCATTTACAGATTGTGCCCAGTTCAACAGCTTTGAGATCCCAAAGTTGGGATGAAAAAAAGGGTTTGGCGAGAGCACCACCTTTTGAAGCCATAAAAACCATCTCACGCTAGGATGTTTGATAAAATCCCCAACAGTAATGCTTCAGGCTTTAATCTCCAAGCTCTGGATATACCGGAAAAAGGGGAATACTTTAGAAACCCGAGATAAGTAACCAAGGGCGCAACAATGGCCCTTGTGCCATTGGACTGTAAAGGGTGGAGGGAATCAAAAATGCCGAAGTAAGATTACAATAAAATCGTAGAATAATTTAAGACGTGTCATTTTAAAGTCAAAATAGGTGGCTAGAGGTCTAAGTAGTCAAATGTACATTTAGTGGATGAATTGAAACAAATATTTGCATATTAGGCCAGTTCATTTCAACAGTTTGATTCAGTGGCTGTTTGTTTGTGAGGCAGAATTCACCGAACAAGGCGTAAAAAGTGTCAAAAAGCGGTTCGTTGAATCACAGAAAAAGCGTTGCGTGATCACTTGTGATTTGCAGTATTCACATTTCTGCCAGGCTCGTAAATTATCATTACGATGGAGTAAAACCGACCCTTAATCATTGCGTCCAACAATTTTATTTAGGATTGGAGGGGTTTGCTGTGAAAATATGGGCGGATTAATCATCAAACATTTTGGTTGAGTAGTTTTGAGGTAAAATACTCCATCTGAAGGAATGCTCAATCAAATGGCCTTCCTCTGTCGGCACATAGGGATGAAAATTACTCAAGGCTGCAGCGTACCGAGGCAACCCTGGCATCAAAAGAAGGCAGAATATCAGGGAGACAACCTATAACGGTGAGGAGCCACTACGACTTTTTTGTCGCGGGTAGTCTGATAACCCATTGATGGAGGATTTAGACGTAATAAAAGTGGTGACTTATAAGAAACACCTCATAGGACGAAAATCCTGACCCTGCCGGTCAGCTCTGTACTATTTAAAAGTGGTCTTCGGGGCATACTAAATATGTGGAGAATAGCCGGTTTCGCATCTTATTTTTCTGATCTAAAGTGGTTTTTAGAGATTCAGAGAAGGCTGAACGGGAATAAATTAAATACTTCCACTAAGGAGTTTTCTGCAACATCTGCATTAATGCGATGAGGATGTGTTTGCCCGTTTTGTTGCGATTCTGGCATCAAATAACTTTAGCTGGACGCAAGTGTATTTCAATGCGAATTAATAGCCTCTGGTGTTTAGTTTACTCGCAGGTGACCAGACAATGCATGAGTTCTAGAGACCTAGCCCCTGCAGTTCTAACAGACCACTGAACTCAGATGGTCATGCAAATGATTAATGAGTTCCAGTCCTGAAAAGGCGTAGCCTTCAGCCCGCATCTGTTCTCAATGACTAGGTCTAGGAGGCATACTATAAATCCAAATACCATATTAACACACCATGGGCGCTCGAGTGAGCTCAGGCTTTTGGTTACCCAATTGCAACTTTGATGTTATCCCTCCAGTACCCTAAGCAAAAAGCATTGACGAGTCCGCTTTAGAACCAACGTTCTATGCAGGAACCGTAAATCAAGCTAACCGATGGTGCTGATTGCGAAGGAATTGAAATTCGTCGGTTAAGAGAACGCATATTTTAACCATGGTCAGAAGATGCCCCTGTCCACAGCAGTGAGATAAACAGCCGTTGCATCTCTGAAGCTGGCCATCAAGGCTGTATTTGTTCCCAGACGTGTAAAAGAGCCTTGTGGAGGAAGTGTGAATGCACCACGACTGTGCTCTGACCTCTAAGTTGCTACTCGGAGGACGAATAAGAAGAGCAGACTGTTTTAAAATAATTCTGCCACGATGATAACCCTCCGGTTCTAAGCCCGTTCCCAAGATTTTCTAAACGGAATCCCACTAAATTTTCATTACGTCTCGTTTGAAGGAAGATAAGGATTTAAAATGTAGGACGCTTAGTATTGCACTTGGGCCTCAAAAGACTCATTAGAAGTGTGAAAATCAGGAAATATCCCAAACAAACTATCAAGTTAGCGGTTATCTTCTCTTGAAAATCCTATCCTACCACCGACTAAATAATGTAATGCCCAAAGTAGCTTCTATATGCACCTTTGTGGACAATCCTCTCGTATTGTATGCCTTAGAGTAGAAATTCAAAAATTAACTCCAATTTTAGGAAGACGACCAGCTCCTGAATAAGACCATTATTGATTAACCTGCTCTCACAGACCATTTATTCTATACAACGGAACAGGCGAATTGTCGTCCCATTCGCCATTTTTGCACCCAGAATTCATACAACGCTGCAGAGAACAAAAATAACTTTTAAGAGCAGCATAAGTTATTACGCTTAGTAAAATTTTTTGATTAGATAATCAGGAGTTTGGCAAGCCTGAAGTTGACTTCGTAGCAACCATAGTGATTGAAGCAGGCGCACCTTGACTAATCTAATGCTTTGATCATAGTTAGCCACAACTAAAATTTTTACGCAATCAAAACAGTATGGGTTGGATTTACATGGGTCGTTTTTAGTGCTATCATTAATATTTTGCACAATCTTTACACAAGGCTATTACAGATAATTATAAGAGCTTACAATTCCATCTGAAGTAGTTCTTGTGCTAGTAGACCATGAATTAACCATCACTATTATACTACTAGGTTTCCTTCTTTCACTAGGTTGTTGTTTAGTCAAAAACTTTTGCTTTATGCTAATAAGTCTTAAATTAGGTTAACGCTTCCTTCCTATTTTGACTTCCTTCTGCAAGGACCTTCCACTTTGTCAGCATTGACGAGTAGTAGCCTTCGGATATGTGCCTAAATGCATTTTCGAGAGACTTGTCAAGTTATTTTTAGCCTAAACAGCCATAGAAAGGCCTTGACATCTGATTTGACACTTCGATGAATTTTTTTGGCCGACTTAAGGCAGAATATTATCGATCTTCAAGCAAGTAGTTGCACTTGCTGATTTTGCGAACTTTTCTAAGAGGTAGTGCTACTTATACTAATGTGTTTAGGTTGCCTTTATATGGGAAGGCGCTTAATTAATTCGCATACGAATCTCATTTGTGAAAAGGGTGACGACATATCTCCAGGGTGATATCAGCTTATCGTCATCATTTCGCCTTCCGTATCCTTTTTTCTGTACATGATGCCGAATAAACCCCCAATCGACCCTCCCATAAGGTCTGAGATTCAGGAGCCTGAAAGTAGGCAAATAGGTCTCACAGGTAGCACTACTTGAAGAAGCAAAGTTTCCAGATCACGAATATGTATTTGCAAATCGCCACGTAGGGACAATGAAGAAGAATTAAAGGGAGAATAGTTTGTTTATAGCATTCTGCTTGAGAGGCTGCTTAATAATCGGCTCGAAAATGTGGGTGTAATATGTGCATTAGAATGTTTAAGTTGATCTTTATAAAAGAGAGGCGGGAAGCGAATCCTATGAGTGCAGAACTCCTCTCTGGGTGATACCTGATATTCATCTCATCTGTACTCTTGTCTCCGTTTTCCTTTTATTCAATGCCTAATAAATCTGCTGTAACTAACCCTCTCTCGAAATCTGTGGTTCAAGAGCACGAGGGTAGGCAGACAGTTCCTACAAGATCACCTAGGATTTCACAAGTTCCACTTACGTACCGTACACATTGCTTTGGGAACTAAAAGCGACCACTTAATAGCATACAATGCATGAAAGTAAAGGTCAGGTATCAACTTAATTGAAGGCATGTATAATTTCTTTAAAAGTGGTTGCATATATTTTTCCCCTAAAAATTTGCATGAAAAAGACCCATGTATTTTATTTTTATTTAAATTACAATAATATCTGACTTTTGCTAAAGTTGTTTATATTTTTGAAAATCGGTAGAGTACCCTTATTCGACCTTGCTCTGGCATTTGGAGGGTGCTTTGGATTCATTATTAAATGCTGCTAGTATCATAGGTTTGAATGTCCATTTAGCTTTTATCCCATCCTCAACTCTTGTGCTCATACATAGCAAAATATGTTTTTTGACTTTTCTGCCTCGTTAGCTCAGCTGCTGTAAAAGTTAGATCTCATTCTGTATACTATTTACGTATTTTGCTACCAATAGCGGACAGCAAGCCACTCTTTGTCTCGAAAATTTCATATAATTGACCTTTAATTCAAACGTTTTCAATGGAAACTGAGGCCTCTCTAATACTTGGAATTGATCTTGGTACGTCAAGCATCAAGGTCGCTCTTGTCACACAAGGCCCAAATCCTCACGTTGAAACCACTTTATCAAGGGATACTGGCCTTGTTTCAGGACACAGTTTGAGCAACTTTAAGATATTCTACCTCCCCAATGAGCACACTCAAGATGTTGGAAAGATATTTCAATGCCTGCACATTCTGCTTTCCACGATACCTCCACGATTAATGGCTCGTGTTACAGCCATCACCGTGACAGGTCAGATGCATGGAGTTATGGGGTGGCTAGGTAGCGACCTTGCGATTCTGGAAAAATCCAGAACTGAGAAGAAAAAACTCGATGCTAATGTGAGTGGAGGCGGGTGTGGAAAATTGATCACGTGGATGGATCGTCGATGTAGCAAGGAATTTCTCGATTCTCTTCCAAACCCCACAAGGAGTGAAAAACCTTTTACTGGTAAGAAGATGACTTAATTTTATTCATTTAGCACTTAACTACTCTTTAAGCTAAGGGGCAATCTATTCCGGTTGCAGTGCCATAAAATGCTAAAATGTTTTAAAATTTTAAATTTTAGGTTTCGGCTGTGCCACCATTCTTTGGCACTTTAAGAATCAACCAGAAGAGTTCGCAGTGACTCCGATAGACGTGGAACAGGAGCGAGATATTTTCGAAAAAGCGGCAGTTTTGCGCAAGACTTCTGTTGGATCACCTACTCAGCGACCAACGATCATCGGCAATGCGGACGACTGCAAATCTTTTGCGTCACAAACTAAATCGAGATCGATATCTCAAAGTCCTTTGCCCTCGCTTTTTCGACCAGTACAGCACACCCCATGGACTTGTATTGGCACAGTGGCAGACTTCCTTGTAGCCTGTCTTGCCTCCCTTCAGCGACCTATTATGTCTCCACAAATGGCCATGTCCTGGGGCTACTTCGACATGGAAAACAATTCTTGGGATTTCCATGCGTATGTCCTACTTGCTTAGCAGTTCAGGTCTTAAACTTAAGGGTATCAATTGGCTCCCCCGAAAAATTCTAAGAGAGGGTCAACAAGTTTTTCATTCTCTCATTTTCTTTGGGATTATTTTTACTTTTGTGTGTTAAGAATCCTCGGAACCATGCTGTCATATTACCTTTGATTCTACAAATTGAGATTCACTTTCCTACTAACTTGCATTGTTGCTAGAAGAAAATACTTTATTTTCAAGCTACCAAACAGGTATCCTCATCTCAGGTATTTCATCTACTATTTGACTTCTTTATCAACTGGAGAAGAGCAGTGCATAGCTGATGTTATGATTCGCGCTTTTGGTTTGTATATTAAGTTAATTTGATTTGTTGAACAAATCTACTTAACACCTAGTTTCATCTCCATTATTTTCAGTTGTTAGGCCTCACCCACTTGTGAGTTCTTATGAAATCAAAGTCTGGGAACAATAGAAGTCTCTTAGTTTCGTATCTTTTTAAAACGCTCCAAATGCATTCCTATACCGACATGATTCTGATGCTAAGCCAGTTACCTCGGATTATTTTCAAGGATGTTGTATTTTCACAATTGAGAAGTGAAGCTGAATACGGTAGTCAAGATTCTCGGTCTTTTGAGGCTTCCGTTTTATATCTGGCATCAGGTTGATTTAGAGGAAATTTTCTGCCAACCTGACTTATACATTAGTAATATGATTGGTTCACCGTCTTTCTCATACTAACTTCCGGAGAACTATCTTCCCTTCTTCGTCGTCCTTTTATAGTAAACAAAATACACAGCATTTGTTATGCTGATCCCTTTTAATAAAAGAGACAATTCGTGTGACACCTGTCGCTTCAGAGAATTTTAATGAACTCTAGCAGTATCCCTTTATCTCTAGCCACAGAAATGTATTTCATGCAAATGTAGCCGCAAAGATGTTATTAGGGCGGGTGGGATAGCTCAAGATGTGAATGTAACCCGTTTTGAATTATCTTCCACAAACACAAATTGCGTTTACGAGGAGAGTTGAGAGCATGAAACCTCTTTTATAAGAAATTTAAGTTCCTCACCACCTTTCTCAATTGTGAAATGGAACACTTCTCCTGACCAGTTCTTGTCCATGGGTCTGCACGACTGCTGGCAGTACTGGTTACGACATCAGTGGCTGGTGGCCTAATACGTTATTTGTTGTGCGCCTCGTTAAGAATCTGTTTGTTTATCCTTTGGCTAGAAAATATCCCATTCATATGAATGATCTACGTAGGAGTTTGAAGCCCACCCTCAAGAGTATTTTAAGGACGTAGTTTCGGAAACATCGGGTAGTTGAATTACTGACAAGTACTCCATGTCTCCTCCCTTGCGTGAATGTCTTTTCCCCAAAGCATTCTAATGGCCATAGACTGTTGTGATTGTGTAAACCTATTTTTTCTAACTTCATAGCATTCGTGCGACCTAATTACCATACTGATGTTTGAGTTGGAATGTTAGGACTCATCATCGTTTTTAAATTACAGCATTTTAATTGTTCGGTGGAATTGGATGGTGAGGAAAATCACATTTTTTTTCAACATTGAGCCTGCATGTCTTTTTCTCCCTTTTCTTTAAAGAGTGTAGCGACTGCTTGCAAACTAGAATTACATACGCAGGCGAATATTAGTTGAAAACCCATTTTGGGCAGTGTGCCTCATCTCCATTCCACACATGCTTCCTTTCATTCTTGAATGTCACCGAGTGCAATTTTTGGCAACAACGTCTCAAAATTTCACCTTATAAGAGGATTGGAGCCGAAAGTTAAGGATGACGTAGGCACTAAACTTCTTTCAAATCGTTTGTAATCTTGATTCTTAAACCTAGTCGTTGACTGTTGCGATAGGCACAAAGTCCTGAGGGAGAAGAAGTAGGAAAGCGTGATGGCATGACCTTTATCATTCATAAAGTCACCATCTATCACGCCTGGCGCAAATTCAGTACTGAGGTTGTTTGTCGAGCTGTCCATTTGCGTCCTAGGTGGATATGTATCCTATGTGCTTTGGACCGCTTTAAAGCGCTGGGCTTCCTTGGTCTGAGATCTTTCTTTTATCCATAGACAAAGGTTTTGAGAGTAGTCAAAACTTTCTTTGTTTTAAATGCACAAAGACGCTCGAGGGAATGGAGCAAAATATGCTCGCCTTTTATTTGTTGTCGCGTTTCTGAAGAGCTAACACCATTTTAACTCTTTATTGGGTATGTATGCCTGCATGAGTCGGCAAAACGCAGCCGAACAAATCCTCTTCACCTAGTATATTTGTTCATTCGCCCGGAGTGGGAGCTGTTTCTCCCACTAAAGCCCATTTTGTGATGCCGACCAACAAAGGTTGCGAAAACTTAACTAGCAGAAAAACAAAAGCTAAGTTATTGTAAAACATGTCTTTGTTCGCCTTTACTTAAGACAGATCTTAATGTTAGAGCTTTATTTGGAAATTCTACAAGTCTTTTTCATAAGAAATGGCCGTCGAATAAGTAACAGTCTTAAAACTCCCATGTCTTTGCCTCTTTATGTGGAAATGTGCGTTTCAAAAGACTCCACAGCACTCACTTGTGCCCATAAAGGCAACTTCAGAGTCGCTTTAACAGGGTTTTGAATAATGTTACTCTTCGCTCACCCGGTTAGTACCGCTAGAACCATACCCCTTTCTGTCAAAAACCGTCAAGAGCTGTGGCTGAACCAAAAAGACCAAACAGTCTGCCACTGCTAACCGTGCCTGAGGTACAGTCATACAGAGCTAAAGGACTTTAGATCCTACGCGACGGAAGGAAATATGTTTAACCATTGGCAGTCTAAATACGACATGGATGTAATACGGCAGATGGTCTCACACCCACGTATTTGACTTTGTTTTCTTAATTTGTTCCCTTGGTGCGACTGTTGTCTCCACTACCGTGAGAATTGTATCACATTCTGTGTCCTTTATTCTCATATCACTTACACGACCTCACAATTTGGCTACCCGAATCTAGGATCACCCATCGGATTAGTCATAATTAAAACGATAAAATGGATACTAGGTGTTGGTCATGATGTGAGAACAGCTATTTTCTCCTCCTTAATAAATTTTGTTTCTGAACTAACGGTGGTGGCTAATGAGTAAAGAGTGGAGTACAAATTGGCGTTGCATCAGTAAAGGGAACCTCATATTATCTGCTAAAGTTACCACGCCCACAGACAACAAACTCGGCACCCTCATGATGGCATTAGTCTAATTTTGTTTCACACTTGGTAATTGATACGTGTGAAGCACTTTTTGATACTTGAAGCAGTACATTTTTGCAAACAACTCACTGATGACTCTGCAAGGCTCAGTTCTCGTCTAAAGGTCACCGGATCGGAGTGACTTCAGAGAGAGGTTCGCTGAACTTTGAATGGCGTGGACTGAACATTCCACTGCTAGGATGATCAAAGGCCGGTCGAAACCATCCACAAGTAGTGAAGCATATATTTCGGTGAAAATACACTTTGCAATTGATAGTAGGCGCAAAAATAAATCCCTTTCTAAGACTTGTTGGTAAGTCGTTGAAGAATCTAAAAGAGCCATGGAAAAGCAATCGACTAGTGGTGGATATAGGAAGCTTTATTCTTTAAGAAAACTTGGCTGCAGTCCAGATGTGAGTTGCGAGGGTGGAATCACCTCAGTCTAGCCAATACATTACTGTGTGATGACCGGATTTCCGCCTGCTTTCTCAAGACGCCCACGTGATACATGTATTGTAAATTAAGGGACTTAGTGTGAAGGAAAAGAACACGATTAATGAGTGTGAACGCCTGATCAGGACGCTAAAATACCTGTCTGGAGAGGTTAATTTACCTGGATGACAAGCCACGGTGGCGAATTGCCTATATTGGCAGCCCATCAAGGCTGAATCCTAGCTGCTTGACCGAAATTGTCGCTACCATTTAGTTCCACTTGTTCTACTATGCATTCATCTGCCTCTCCTCTTTGATTGTACTACACGGAGCTGAGGTAGTAGCAAATCGAAGGTTTGACACCACTAATCATTTGTTTGACAATATGTTTGGCAGTGGAATTTTGCACATTTCAAAAACTACACATGCATTTTAGACCTCAGTCCACGTGGCGCTTTTTATCGAATCAAATGCGTTTGAATGGAACTTTCCGTCACTAATGTACGTGTCACTGTTTTTGTCCATTTAATCACACCTCCACCGACCTTTGATGTCTTCGAGAGTTTACGTAGTAAGTCCATTTAGCGTACAGTTGTGGTAAACTTTTTTTTGCAAAAACTTGCCATAACATTGTTATTCAAAAGGGGTTGCAGTGCCAAACTTTGTGTCCAAAGTAGCGAAATAGGAAACGAAGAAGTGGATTGATGTGGTACAGCTTTTCCGGTATGCTACTTCCTTTCTTAATCTCATCATCGTTTACTCACCTTTCGGCCTCTTACTCCCCGTGGTTGGAAAGTAACCATTCCTCACTTCAGACGTCATTTTGACTGCCTGAAAATAGAGCACTGACAAGTCGGCTGTTGATGTACAGCCCTCAACGATCTCCTCAGTCAGGTTCTTATAGTCCATTTCTTCTCCCTCCTCTGGTCGGCAAACTTCATTAATGGTTAATGCCTTTGCATCAGCTGATAGGCCAACACAGTGGGACAAGTATCAACTGATGATGACCCCTCCTGAGGCTGACACTTAGGATTTTGGGATCAGACAAGTACCTTGCATAGTATGAGATGTCTTGAATTTTGAAGTGTTTAACCTCAAATCTTTCAATCTTTGACTTTAAATACATATCAAAGTGTCTCTTTGAACCCTAGACAAAAAATGTCGAACTATGGGTTTGCATATTTGCCGTCCGAGGGGCTCTGACAGTTTTAACTTGTTAATGTTGACTGCGCCAACATTTTGAGGGACTCTAAGCAAAATTATTTAAAATGTTAACATTCCTCTTTCGCGTCGAGGAACTAACCTTAACGCACACTAGCGAAGTTAGTTCAATGCCCTCCACCTTATCTACTTTTGGTCCAGATAAGTAATGAAAGGAGGAGCAAGTGAACTGAATTACTCGGCCTTTCTGAGCCCTAGGGATTAGTGTGTTATAAATGGTAGTTTGCCTTATTCTCATAACCACTATTTGGAGCTTCCAACCTTTCAAATCAGACGCCATGTGTAAAATTAATTGATTACTCCACAGAACTGAGGACATTGGGTTTTTACTCCTCGATTTACATCTTGGGTGGTCTTGGCACACGGGCTGTCAACAACAGTCCGCAATATGACCTATCACATGCCTTGATGTGTGTGTGTGTTGTAGATCGAAAAATTCTTTTTTTCACTCACTGTACATTTACTCCTTTGCTTCCAGTCTCAATGCCTCTGGTTTTACACTAACGCACCTGTTGCCCGAGATTGTGCCCTGTGGAACAGAGGTTGGAAAGCTTGCCTTCGACTGGGAGGGTGTGCCCGCCGGAGCCAAAGTTTTTGTGGCCCTGGGAGATCTTCAATGCTCCGTCTACCCTTTCCTCGAACACCAGAGGACGCTAAATGGTATTGGGGGTAGGCGATTGTATCTTTTAAACTTGATTTATGACTTTACTACACCATTCTACGTTCATCAAATAAACGGAGATCCTGTGTAGTCATTCATACCCATTGTAGTAAATAATCCTAATCGCAATGCGTTGCATAACTATCGCTGTGTAGTCTTGTCAGTTGAAATGAAAACGAGTAAGAATGCAGTCCTCTTCTCTTAAAGCACTTTACAAACGCATGGAATTGAGTTTAAATTTAACTAAGTGACATGGTTGATGATATTTTCTGTCGCATGGTGCTGGCGAATATTCATAAGAAGTTATTACAGGTTGATGTTGGGCCCGCATTGGACGCCGCCTTATGCTCCTGCCAGAAAGAACGGTATCCGAACCAAGTCAGTAGCTATCAGCCCTTCACTTTTCCTTAAGAAACTGATAGATGAGCACTAAGGGGACTAAATCGATGCTCATCACTGTCCTTGCAGTCATCTTGATGACTACGTTAACCTATCCTACGTATGGTCAAAAGCCCAGTTTTAACCTCTTCGATGATAAGCTTGGAAGACTCCTTTCATATCCGGCTTCACGAAGGATGGGAGTCATTTGGTCTACATTTAGGATCATGGACTAGGAATTCCCATCTGAGCTCGTTACTGATAGACTAAGCATCACATACTTAAGTGATCTCTCGCCGGGGTTCTAAGGAATTTTGTGTCAACTCTCGAGCTCTCTGCTTTAATCACTATGTTGACGTGTCCTTTTGTCTTAAAAGCTTCGCTTCCTTGCAATGATGGGGCCTGAACGTTGTAGGTGTTAATAAAAGTGAAACAATTTTATCAAATGAACCATAAACAATTTTTTTCTCCTATAAGAGTAAATATTTTGTGAGAGAAACCGTTAAATAAGATTAACCATGTCTATTTCACCCTTCTGCAACCCCAAATTTGAAATGTACAAACATCTGGTAAATTTTGGGTTAACTTTGAGAGGTTATTCGGTAAATCCAAGCTGAACGTGGGTGCACTCATGTGACCTCAATCGGAATGTCAACTCCTTGCAAATAATGTTCACTCCTCTCGGCAGGTGAATAAAAATTAGTACCTACTGTTTAAGTCCACGTTTTTTGCTGACGAGGGCTAATTATAGGCTGCTAGGGTTAGGCCACAATTTCATTTTTGCTGTCTTCTCATGCCTAGACAGAACATACAGTGTCATGCCACCGAGCACTGAGTAAAACAATGATGCGCCTGTTACAGAAGGTAACTATCCAAATTGGAATGGAATTCATCATTGATGATTGGTAGGAGTTCTACCGGCCATGAAGTAATTGCATGATGTTAGTCCCTGACTTGGCGGCTCCTTAAGTGGATTTTCATTGTTTGAGATCGGCTAATCGAAAATTTCCTTCCATGTATGGTATGCCTTACCTCGATGGCCCATTCATCTGTAATGCAGATTTGGTTGTTTTCTCCTTTATAGCCTCATGTCACGGAATTTTGTAGTTTTATGGATGTCATTTTGAATTCCTCCTTTTCATGAACTAAGCTTGCCTTTGTCACTAGACCTCAGAGGATGCCCCTACAACTAGTTTTATACCGTTTAAAAAGAATGAAATAGAGGGTTGTGGTAGGTTATCGGGTCATAGATTTGCAGTTGTATCTAACGCGGGTCAAGCGAATTAGTTTTTATGCATCTACACGAACCAGCCGTCCACGCTGTCGACAACCAATGACCTCAATCTACACAAACTATCACCTCGTACTGTGTTACCTCCACGTAGCAAAAAAACTATCTGAACGACTAGCAAACAGGGTTGTGGTGGAAAGTAATTTTTGTGTTCTTTGTGAGAATGAATATTGCGACCGGCACTTATTCCATACATTTAAGGTTGCATTTTCTCCTCAAACATCTATTCCTGGCGTGTTTGTGTGAAGCATTGAAGACGCAACTGCTCACTAGACCTTGACGCACGTCTTGGTACGATGTAGGGCGACACAGTCAGAACTGGTTAATCAATCATCCGGACGAAAATCCTGTGTTCATGAAGTCCTACTCTCTCCTAGTACTCGTACGAAGGTTTTAATCTCAGGAAATGAGAGAGAGAGAGAGTGACGACACCTCGCTCCAATCTTAACCACTTGTGTTTTTAAGTTATTTTCTGGCAACAGTTGACATTTCCACGCAAAATTGGTGCCTGTGAATCAAATGTGAAGTTAAGTGGGTGTGAATAGAACAGTTTTTCTTTCATCTTGCAATTGTATTTGGTAGTAACCCTATCAAATAAAATTGGGTGGATTAAATCATGAGCACATTCTCCTGTATTGTAATAAAAAAGCTGCTTAACTTTTGACTTTTTTGTCTCTGAACAGTATTTTACCTCTGCTACCTTTAGTGCGATGTATTTCTCCATTAAAGAGACTAACAGGCGGATTTGGACACCAACTTTGTTGGGCAGTCAACAAATGTCTTACTAAACATTCACCTCTATTTTGTACCCTGCGCTATTAATTAACGGAAATTATGAAGTCTACGTTATTTTCTCTCTCTTAAACGTGTACTGTAGCCATTGGTACTGCTTATACATCACAGTCTCTGTTTTGCCTAATTAGAGGCATCCACTGTGTTCTAATTTTGATGCCACCTAGCAAGGTGAATTAACAAGGAACGATTCCGATGGACCACGTTAGTGGTAGGTGGTTGGAGGCTTCATGGGACGGTTTCCTCTCGACTTCTCCCTCACTTGCTCCCTTCTCCAGCAGTCTAGCAATATTCAGCTGTCACACTCGCGTTTCTCTCAAAAAATATCATTTAATATTGATACACTTTATATGCACTAATGCCTTTCTTGCCCTCAAGGTCATTGCATAGGTTTGTTATATGATAGTCATGTGTTCAGAGGAGTTTAAAGGATGTGGTATAACTTTAACGATTCAAATTAAACTCATTGTTTTTTTTTAATTTTGTAACTTTTGCGGAAAGGAAACGGACATCAGTATTTTCTACACCTACAATAATGCTACTCTTTTGTCAGAATATAAACGGTGCGAGAGTTGGAGTCAATTCAGACCAGAAAGGCAATTTACCCAAATTACTACTACTATTTTTTAATTAAATCTAACATGAGCATATACTTTAACCCCTCTTTACCGGCCTGTACCTTTCAAGGCTCACTTTCACCACAGAAAATGCTCCTACGATTACAAATTTCACCATTTTGCAGATATAACTCGTGTCATGGAAAATGCTTAATGTCCCTTTGACTGCCGTCTGTAAACTAAGAAAATCTGCCCAGAAAACGAATTGTAATGTCCTCGTGAACAGTCGTCGCACATTTTCAAGACCTTCGCATTTATTGCGTCTCATAAAGCTCAGTCGTTCTCTACTTCAGTAGAGGAGACATTTTTTGGATCGATGTCTTTCATCGCATGTCGATGGAGACGACGAATAGCGTATTATTTCCAGCTTTAAGGTCTAAATATGTTGGAGTTTCCGATGCCGCTTTGTTGATGCTAAAATGTGTTGCCATCCCTTCCTCCTGCATACCCATCTATCACAAGCGATTTCCAGATGGGATTACCTCTCCTTCCTCTTTCTTGTTGATTTCTAACCTCCAATTGCTCTTTCTTGAGTAACTTTTCTTGATATTTCGTCTGTTTCCCGTTGTTCCTTTTAGCCTGCAACATTAGTACATCAGCCCAGATAGCCTTCAAGCTTCCAGCTGGCGTGGAAATCAATGCACCAACCTCCTCGCATTCTTCCCCCACCAGCACATGCAACGCGGACAGTGAAGGCGTCTTTGAGCGTCTGTTGACATCTAAACGAATCTCTGTGTGGCCATTCTTCCACCCCAATGAACGAATTGTCGTAGCCGCAAGTCTGAATGGTGGCAATGTAATCGAGAGGTTTATCAAAATGCTGCGTGTTTGGTGTCGACAGTTGGGATGCCCTGCCATAGAGACTGCACAGGTTAGTTTGCATTCGTACATCTCCTCAAGCTTTCTTTTGAATTTAAACCATCATTCTGCATCTCAGTGAACTGCTCGTCACATTTTGTCCGTCTTGCAATGGAATTTTCAAACAGGCAATACATAGGCTAAATTGTGTATTTGTGATATCAGCCGTACAACTTTAAGCTAGTTGAAGCTGCAGGCGGTTTCAAAGCCAAATTATTTTGGTAGATAAAAGGTCAACAAATTAATTCTTGTGATCGTTGTTGCCAACTCCTGCACTGTGAGCTATGGGTGTACAATTTGTCTGAATTAAACTTCTCCCTCGGCAGCCATCGCCCATTTAAGATAAATTTTTCCAGGTTTAGTTGGCTCAGGAATACTGAGAAATTCTCTGCTTGATTGTACAGGTGGCGTCTGGAGCGCATCCGCCCATGATGAATACTTTATTTGGTAAATACTTCGAAGTACTTAGCCTCAACTCCATTTTGATTCTTTTTAACTCTCTTCAGGTTAATTTATTTAATGGTGTTGGTGGCGGCGGGTAGATTAAATATGGAACAAAGCTAACAAGCCTACATGATTGGAATAGGGAAGTGGGCGCCATCGAATAGTTTCATGCAACAGTAGCTCTTGTGATGCTGATATAGATGATTTGCATAAGTCGCTGTCAACGGAGGCGGGTGATGGGTTTTATGCGTGATTTTGGGTAACATCTCCGCTCCATTGTAAGAGCTCGAGGGATTGTTTGTGCAAATACTCTCCTGATATCAAGTGATTAGCAAAGTGCCACAGAGTGGATTAAAATGCGTAAAAGCTTTAGTAGTGGTTTGAACTTTACGAAGGGCGGTTCAAAGTCGAAAATAATTAAAATCGTAAGGTATTGATACATAAACTTAAGTGCATTAAAGGATTGTTAAACCCACCTGTGATCTACAATCGCGAGCTATTTAAGAACACTGTTAGTGTTTATTTAATCAATTTACGCTTCACGATTTGCAAAATCGCGACTTTGGCTTCATATTGGCTTTGGTTCATAAGACTCTCAACCTGATCTTTGAAATTTTTTGTCCTTCACCTCACAGCCCTTGTGAGAGTTAACCTCGAACACTTGAGCCAACAAGCAATGGTATACCCACTGACTCCAACATTTTTACTGTTGCTGGACCAAAGGTGTGGAAATAGTCAGCATTTCTAGTCATGGCTAGTTGTCCAAAATCGCCTTTGCGTTGTTGTTTGGAAACAATTTTTCTTACTTTAAACAAGGCCTTACGTAAATTTAAAACAGTGTGGGTGTCCAAATTCGGCGCTTGTCTATGCTAGCTGGATGAGGCGAAATACGGCCTTTAAAGGTTTCACTCTGTAAACGCTTCCTTTCCACTTAGTTGAAACACCCCACGCGTCACATCCCTGTTTGGTTATCGTTGAATCTTTCTTCCGGCATATTTTCATAAGCAAGTGGAGAAATTTTTGTAGTCTCAAATGCGCTTAAATGAGGAGCGATTAATGTGACTAAAATTTGTCAACTCCATCAAACTTGAATAAACCTCTCGGCTCACCAAGGTGTATTTGTAATTTTGTTGAAATTGGTTTCGTTTTAAAGTTTTTAAATTTCCTCCATTGATTCAAACAATTGGAGTCATTTAGTGTCTGGCGCTTTGCCTAAAGGGGAACTTAGGCAGTCAGGTTTAGGTAGAAATTCTGAGTTACCATTTCGTACTCTGGATAAATGCTCCAATCGTCCCTAATTTATTCGAGTGCCATAAATAGCTCATTGTCTACATTTTCAACGATGCCATTTCCCCTTTGCATACATTAGCGATGCGTTTTTAAAGTGCATAGGGAGTGGATAAAATGTCTTAGAGATTCACAATGCTTCACGGAATACCTTGAGTTCCGTTAATAATAGGTAATTACTCACGTTAACGACTTGCAAATCTTCATTTGACATGCGGAAAACTGTATAGGTGGAAGTTAGAGGCATTGTCTAATTGAATAACTATAGAGCTGGCGTAACAAGTTAAAGCGATTTGTGTTGAGCTGCAAATACTAAATTGCGCCACATTGGCTGCAAAGAGCACTGTCCGACAAGTAAGTAGCATGCCCCATTGTCATCAGAGGGAGATATGTGGGTTCTTAGGCGAAGGACTTCGCTTCTAGTTCCAAACCTAGCACAGAATAATTGCTAGATTTTACTATATGCCATCTCCGCTATTGAGCTGCCCTTCGATACGAGATAAGCTGGAAACTAGCTAGTACTCTCAGACAACGAACAGTCTAGGCCGACGTTGGTGGTTAAGAGTCTGCTCAATCCGTTTGAGATACGATCTGTTATGAGCTTACGAAGCTGAATCGTAATCGGCGAAGTTTAGACGTCGCAGTTATGCAATCCCGAAATATTGTGTCCCGACCTTTATTTCCTCTCGAAGAAACGACCTAAATGATCATCACTTTTGACTTGTGAAAGTGTGCGTTCACGAGCTGAGCGTCACATGTGCAATTATACGCCATTAAACTCACATGTAGACTGTCTCTCTAGGTAGCTCTGTTGGGCTTTCCACGTCTTTTCGGCGAATGTCGTATTTTCATTGCCCCTTTAATGTCGGCTGTCTGGACAGGTAGTGTAAACAGTGAAGCGTGGCTAGACCATAGGCCCTTGTAGGCACCACAGTGATTGAAAATGCGCCTTCCAAGCTCACATATCAAAACTTTCATTTATATGCTGTTGGATTTCACAACTTTTGTCTGACGCAACCATAATTTTACTTGTCCATTTTCACCTGATGCCTACAAAAATATTTGCTACTAGTGTAGTGCTCCGGTTCTCTTACCTAACGATGGGTAAATGAACAAAGTAGCGCGAATTAAAATTCGAAAGGTGCCACTATTATCAGAATATTTGAGTGAAGGTGGAGACCCACCCTTGACTACAGCAGATCTTGACGCTGTGGATGCCAATTTAGTGCAATGAGAAAGAGGGAGATTTTCTCATTCATTAAGTCTCCAGCTGCCATCATTTATGGAGATTGACTAATACAGTTCCCTCTTTGAGTAATTTGGGAAGAGATTGAAATTCGTTAAGGAGTACTATCATGCAGAGTGATAAACAAACAAGCGAAAGGAGCAGGCATGAAGACTTGAAAATCGATGGGCGGTTATTAAACTCGCCGAAAATAAACCACAAATGACAATGGCACGCGCAAACAGTCGAGAGTTTAAATCGGGAGGACACTTTGTTTAGTTGGCTGGTTGATTTGTCCTCGAGGATGCTAACTACTTTATGCTCAAATTTAGTGCACTTTTTACTCAAACATCTCCTAGTGATATTACGAGATACAATTACAACACCATCGTCTAGGTCGTTGTTTTGGAATGGCGACCAAACTAAGCACTGATAAGGTATGGTAAAGTAGTGGGAAAATTACCCTCTGGAGCTGATGTATGGCTACGTACGTTTTGAAACTTTTCAACTCCCCTTCATGAACTTAAAATTACAATAGATGATGCTATTTCAATGAGACACAAAGCTCATTGTTCGTGAAAGCTACAAAACTGCCTACTTCTGGCTGCCCCCCTTTTGCCCCCTCTTATTTTCCATTTGCTTGCCTTATTTTACCATCTGATTGTCTAATGATGCTTAGCCTAGGAAAGACAACAATGACTGAGAAGAAGATCGTCAAGGCAATACAGAGGATGAAAGTGGTCGTAAAAGGGTATAACCTTTTCTTACTCTCTCTCCTCTCCCTGCTTCCTTTCGTTCCCCCTCTTTTTCCTCCACTCCCCTCCCTCCATCTTGCCACGTAGACCTTCGTGCACGTAGGTCTGAGCGCTGATATGAGGCCTAATGTCTTGGTGCCATGAGAATGGAACTTTCTTGCAGTTGCCCGACTGACCAGCTTCAGATGCTCCTGGAGAAGGGGAAAAGGGATGTGCTGATGACGATTGCTTCTTCTCTGCATTAAAACGTTTTACGCTGTGCGGTACAAAGTAGATCTCAATTGTATTCGTTATTGTATCCATGATAATCGCATCATTAATGCACCAAATACAGGTATGTACAAGGAAAGGATGCATAGAATGTTTCGAAAATATGGGAAAACCTGTAAGTGGTTTTTTTTTGTTGGAAAACAGAGGCCATTTCTCACCGCGGGTAAGCCTGCCGACAAATTGTTCATCACGTTATAGAAAGGAAGACAAAGATGTCGGTTTATGAATCGTAAGTTCATAGTTTTGTTGACGGTCTAGGCAACCGCTTGGTGTGGATGTAAATTGACCGTTTCATCCGATCTGTGTTAAACCATGCAATTTCATGACTCGTTAATCTCACAAACCCTTTTCAAGAACCTGAGGCACATTTCTTCACGTTGTCTAAAGTGGATTGTTACACAACTTTTTCCTACCTTCACTTGATTCAATGCCAACATCACATTCTTTAACTCATTCAAAGTCTGTTCCTGTCAAAGCGAACTGCAATTTCTTCCACATTTGTATGAATATATTTAACGTTTTTTTGTAATATGATTAAGAATGAACGCTTTTATCATTCAACATTGAAATTTCGACTACACAGGTTTGAAGTAAGAGGTGAGATAGATTAAGGATGATAGAAGTTACCATACCAAGGGAATACTTTCGTTCTCTCTTATTATGCCGAAGACGGTAGTACATCATGCTGAAAAGATGTTTCAAAGTCCGCAGACACTTCATTTACCCGGTAATTTTGACATCATATGGTTCTTCATGCTTTTCTGTGGTACGTTCATCATTATTCACAGTTTTGTACGTCATTTGCGAGGATTCAAAGGTTTTAAGGGAAGAGCAATCGTCAAAGGGAAAAATCTCTTTGTCTTTTCGATTGCACTGTCATGACTTGAAATTTTCATTCGCCTCCACGTACTTTCATTTCTGGGATGCGATTTGGGAGCACCGCTACATCCATGTAATATGCTCGCCATAAGGCTAATATCAATCACCCTCAAGGCCTCAGGGCACTAACATCTGTTAGGATGGGTTTAAATTGATAATTCAACAAGATGTCTGTGTAACTCGGATCAAACCACGTATTAAGGATGGATGATCATCGTTAGGATAATCGTGCCTTGCCTAAATTCTTGCATCCGACAAATAACGTCATCGCATGTCCGATCCCCTAACAATTGCTTTGAGCCTAAATGCTTTCAGTTAAATGTTTGAAGAGATGGTGAGCCTGGGAACCTGTTTATCTCACAGTAGGTCCTTGTATTAGTTGAAGTTTACTATTTCTCTTGAGCATTGGAAAGTATTTGTTTTGTATTTTGCTGTGAAATAACCTATTGAAGAAAAGTTCCACTGATATATCATATTCCTTAAATTTTGGTGTCAAGCGGACTTCTGATTTACTGTTTTTTGAGGTATCTTGCGAAAATGCCCAAACTTGAGTCAGAAGAGGCTGGGGTAATTTCGACAGAAATGCCGCTAACGTAATCCACGATGCCAAAATTGTATCAACACCGAAGCATCTGGGTAGGTAAACACACAAATCAAGCACTAGCATTCATGGCGTGTGTGAGGTCTCCATCTTTTTTACCCCCGTGTCAAGCGTGCAGACACACAAACTTAACATCTTGACTCTGGAGGGTAATTCACATCCATGTTTTCACATTATATCAAAAGCAGTTTGGAAAAGGCAACCAAATCATCTCAAATATATAGTGATGTTGTGCGATTGGAGGCCACATAAAGTTTTACGTGCCTTAAAAAGGCATGATTTTCACAGCTTTTACTGCACCACAAGTAATAAAGACAATGTAAATGTAAATTTTATTTGAATGTCTAATTCTTTCATTAAAAAAGTCTGAAATTTCTGCAAACATCTCTAAAGAATTGCTCACCAGATTTAAATAGGCCTAAAAAAGATGCCAAATTTTTTTACTTTATTCACAGATATACGAAAAGCTGTCGCACGCAGCAAGTGGTCAACTGGAGCACAACGACTCTCCCATAGCCACCATGATGTCAGTGTCGGAAATTAATGTCGATCCACGCTTGTTTGGAGAGCGCTTCTGCGAATCTGTTGAGATTGAGGGCTATGAACGGGTGGAGCCTTCAGTGGCAGTTACAACTGGCGCTAGCGTGACCAACATACACCCAGACGACGTCTTCAGTCTTCCCGCCATCTATGCTGCCGTCTGCCGCGGTGTTGTACGCAATCTTGTCGGAATGGCTCCACCGGAGGTAGGAAAAGCTTATCTAGATCTTTATGAACTTCATTTAATGTTCAGTGGTTTCTACTAGCCTACGTAAGGTGAGAGACCTTTTATCCGGTTGACGATTAATCTAACTGGACGAACGTTCATTCAACTGACAGTTACAATGATGCCTCACTGTGCTAAAGCCTACAAAAGTTCTTCATTAATCATAGCCTTATGTACTTAGAGATTTGACATTTATGCTGCAAATAGCTGCAGGAAAGTACCACTTTACTTGGCTCTTATGCTTCCACTGTATTGTAACTAAATATAAGGGGGAGGGGGGGCTAAGTTCAACGAACAATAAAACTAACCATTGTCCTGTGGAATTAATGGGTATGTAGGTCTTCTATGGACGAAGTTTTGTGTCACCATATACTGAGGATCTCGTCATAGCCCTATTTGTGGTACTAGATTTAAAGTTTAATCCTTTTGAATTTAGCCTTTAGCTGATCATCAGAAATTGATAGGCTCACTCACCATCTGTAAAGGCACAAGGCATTTGATTGCAATCTAATAAGCACCTCCTTTGAAGCATCTTTGTAAACTGGCCTTGCATCTCCAGAATCACCTAAGAGGAGACGATTAATCCTGGAAGTAGCTTCTTTATAAACACACAGAAAGGATGATCTACTGGCATTATAAGGCTGATTCGTGGAGGGCTGAAATGTTGTGGCATTTGCCCGCGTGACTATACCCATGCACAAATCTGTCAGAGTTATAACTCGAATTTCTCTCCTGACGCTGGTAACGCTCGCATTCTCTTTTAGTTGCTAGTCTGGGCCAATGTTAAGCAACTCTATTGTATGGGAGGCGCCTTGAAGCGAAATCCACTGCTCTTGCATCAACTTCAATCTGAGTATTCTCCTGCCAATGTGACCTGCGTGTCTGAGGACAAAGTTGTTGAGGCATGTGTTGGAGCCGCCCTCTTTACTGCTACTCTTGTCTGATATAAAGTCCCTTCACCCCATTCACCAGGTAAGCACATCCACAATCAACCATCCCTATGCGTACACCTTTATTTTCTTCCTTTTATTTTTTATAACTCCAACTCGTTGTGATCAACACTGTTGGTTTGAAAATCGAATCGCCCGAAAGCGGTATTCCCTTTTGTAAAGAAACAGAATATATGTATACCATTCTCCCAAATCTCGACTTCTTTTATGGCCGGCGGGTGTCAAAAATACGCTCAACTTGGGTGTAAAAGCACTGGAGGGGTTGACTAAGATCCATAAGCTATGCCAATTTTTTAGGGCTATTTTCTCTTATCCTAAGGCCGCTGATTATCAGGTGCGAATTTATCATAGGTGGTAGTTCATTAATTCTGGTGGAAAATAATAGGTTTTAAGGGCCCTAGAGATTCAACTTAGCTATTTTAAGGTAATCCATAATGAGTTTTAAGTATGTGGAGAGAGAGGACTACCGTAGTCCTTGCGACTCAAAATGGTTCACAGCAAACGCAAATTGCAACTCTTTTGTGCATCAGACTGCATATTTTCCAGTCATTGGATTGGATGGTTTCGGTGTTGTCAAAATGCATTACTCGGGCAATTTTGAAGGACACATTACGTTAGCTCGCCTTTTTCTTCGCTCTGATATTAAACAACGGTCCTTTTCATTCTTGAACTGAAATCGCGAACTTTTATCCCAAGAGCGTGTTTAAAGTAAAGTACTTTATTCGATAAACTATCAGTTAACCGGATAATTCATCTCAAGAGAATGCAAGTGCGAACTTCCCTTAAAGGCTATCAGTGCTAGGATTTTTCTAAATTCTCATTGAGAAATTCAAAAAACAGGAAAAATAAATGATGTGACCTGACCAATTTGTAAGTTGAGAGGTAACAACTGTGAAATGTCGTACAGGTCGTAAAAATTCACTACTTGAAGAGGGTGAAGTTGAGTTACAGTATCACTGCCATTAATCAGCTTTCTTGCGGAAGTTACATACATCCGGTTCAATGGGAAATTTAGCATTACGTCTCTCGAACATTTCTGCGATTGACTTGTTATGGTAGACACTGTTGCAGGCGGGAGATAATGTATAGTAATTGCCATTCCGAGGGTCGGAAAATGTGTTACGCAACTCATTTGCATTCTCGACAGTTTGAATGGTTTTTTGGTTTAATGTCAGAATCCATTGCTCGGTCCAGAACCGTCGTACAGGGGCGAGGAAATGAGCTAACCGTCACCTATGCCCATCGCTAGTGTAGGAAGACTAGCATTCTTAAGTCTGGGGTCGCTTTGGTTTCATTTCGATGATGTACACTCGTATGTGCTTAGACTCATACCATCGAATCGAGATGTTGTAGGTAACAATTTAACTAATTCAAGGGCACCGCTGACACAGATATTAAGAACGATCCTTTGAACTAAGGCAAAGGGGTAATGGTTGAAGGTATGCATCCTTTTTAAGCATTTTTTAGGGTAGCCACACTCCACCGAGTACTAGAAGCCAGTACAGCTGTACCTTACAGTAAAATCTGCTAGACGCTGTTGTAAGTGTAGTTTACCGAGATTGCTCTGAAAATGAAAAAAGACATAATTAGTGGGCAGCTCATGGATTGCCTACCCATAGCGGAGATCGGAGGTAATAGCATAGTACGGAGGCAAAGCCAACAGAGGGAAATACCGAGTATCGAGAACTAAATAAACAATTAGCGCAATGCATCTGTGTTCTTTTGCAGGCATGACTAAATCTGTCTTAGCACACCAGTAACCTTAAAGCATACCAACTCTTCTGTTGTTGAGGATCTCAACGGACCTGAAATCATGCACGACATTGTGGGAAGAGTTAATATCAACCCTCTGAGCATCAACCTAAGTGAAATAAGTTCAAGTGGCTCCGGATAAATGGCTTAGTTTTTGGATGTCGAATTCGCTAACTTTACCCAATTCTTGTACAAAACGCGTGGAGGTGAAGTTAAAACTTGTGCTGTTTGACAGAACCTCCAATCTCCTCATTGAAATCCTCGCTGCTGGCATTCCGAAAATATGGGATAAAACACAGAGCCTAGAAACGCCCTTTCATCATGATCTTAAACCATTTAGGCATAATGCATTACCATATCTTGAGTGGTTTACAGCTAGGGTAGTAAAAGTGGGTGTTAATTTATCGGCCATTTGATTTAAATCTTTTCTTTTGTCGGCACGGTGATGAGTGTGCACTGATTACTTGTAGAGGATCATGTCTTGAATAACTTCAAGCGCTAGGTTTTCTGCTTGCCCAAAACAGTTCTGGTGTACAAAAGGGGAGTGTGGACGGGAGCCTATGCATTGCTCAAAAAAATTTTCTCGAAATTGCGTTTACCTTCATCCACTTTCACAATGGTATAGTTATTCATTGCCCATTAGATGGATGTAGCTGCTGCCACAGAATAACAAGATTGGAGCTTTGAAGGATCTACTAATTAAACCGATGATCAGTTCATCGGCGGTATAGGTTGACAACCGCCTCTGAGTCTCGTCGACAATTGTTTGTGTTAAGTCAGAGATCCCTTATGATTGATTTACGGAGCCTTTACTTTGGTAATACTGGAGGATTCAAAGCCACTGCAGGCATTTATTACCATTAAAAAGTCGCTTTAAGTGGTGATTGATTAAGGAAGCGGTCGATTCAAAATGCCTATCCGTCTGAAATGTGTACTTACATTACCGTTTTGTCGACAAATGTCAAATCTAATTTAAATGAGGCTTAAATTTGCTTTCGATCATTCACAGTATGCAGAGTAGATTTTTGCCATCTATCAATCAGCTATGCGGCAGCATAAAGCTGATTTAAGTGGAGCAGAAGGGAGCTTCATTTATCCTCCTGAGGCACATGTTCCACATTTCGATCACGATCCGCACACAGTTTAATTCTTCACTCTTTGCCTCATGCTGCAACATCATGAGCGCATTCACAGTTTGTGTTCTAAGGGGTTTTGTTGTCTTGACTGCCAAATATTGCACCCACAGGCCATGGATGCACTCCATGCATGCTTGTGGAACATTTTATCCCCAAGCCATTAAAAGTGACATAGGTACACAAGATTTAGTATCTTTCGCACTCCAAACACTTGGATCACATTTGCATCGTACTTAGGGTGTACTTTAATTTGCTACATTCAACTTCTATCTTTTTCTTGAGTCAACGGATCCCTTCATTTTCCGTCCGAGAAAGCGGCGTATCTGGACCTGTCTACTGGTGGGTAGTAATAACCTCGTTTTCTATTCATCGTTTATGACGGCTTCAAAGGGGAATCAACATATCTTTGTCCGTACAATTGGATGCAAGTTTAAGATTCACTCTCAGTTAAAGATTGCGCCAAAATCTAAATCAAGCAAATGAATTAAGGCGATTCTCATTACTAGCATCATTGCTCACCCAGGAAATACACCCCATTGCTTGTTTGCTCATCAGAATGGCTATCGAGTCACGCCGGCAGCCTCCTGATCCATCTAAAAGTCCGTAGCACGCGGTCTCCTCAACATGACACCTCTTTTCGTATTCAGAAAAGTCTTAAAGAACTGCAAATCATTAAGAGAAATCGGATTTTTCTTTCACCTAAAACCCGCACAGGGGATTGAATTCTGCCTATCGTTTTTTCCAGGTTTTCTTTACACGTCTAGGAGACTTGAGAAAATCCATTCGTCTTGGACCATTTTTGTTAAATAAACCTTTTTAGCGAGAAGGCAACTGATTAATGGAGATGCATCACCAATTAGTTAGTCTCTTCATCACCCATTTTCCATATCCGAAGTTCCCGCCGGCTCCCATTCCAGTCTTCATTGTTTAAGGAAAAAGTACAAACTTTTTCCACGTCAACAAAAGAAAATGCTAATCAAGCACAATTTGTTCCTTGTGAGGAGACAGAGAGATCGGCTGAAACACAATGGACGCAGTAACTCATTTTCGGTAATAGTTTCCTGGATGAAGGACAAGAAATTGGTAATTTTCGCCTTTTTTCGCACTTACTAACGCCAAAATATAGCTAAAAAAGTGAGTTATAGGGAAAGATGTTGCTCTTTTTTGTCCTTTAATTCAATTTAGTGTGAGCCGACCGTCAATGAATGAACAATCTCTAAAATTAATATAGGCATCTAGAAGTCTCACTTGTGTTCCTGTAAGTTTTTGTATGCGTAAGTGTGAGTTACCACCCAATGTAGTATAGCTAAAGACTAGAGGCAAATATTCTTTGGCTGGGTGGATTTAAACGGCTCTATTTATGAATGGACCATAACAAGATATGAGGGCTACAATCACTTGGTTATCTGATGGCAGACATCAGTGAGGCTGCAGAAAAAAGGTGGGGACGAATCAACCATATCGAGTGGTAAAACTATCTTTAAGGCAAAAGTTAAGTGGGAGGATAGTGGAGGCCTCATTTCCACTACTGCATTCGCAATATTTCTTTAACGCATTGTTTTGCCACCTGATTATTTAAGGATCCGCCTGGAGTGGCGTGTTGTTATTAACCAATAACTACTCTAGTCTTGTAATGTATAGGAACGCTACAAACTAAAGGTACAAAGCTGGCCACGTTATTTACGCAAAACAGTAAATTGCATAAACACGTGACACTCCCTCATCTCCTTCTTTCGTTGAATTGTACTCAGATCTACGCAAAATGTGAAATTGAGGCGAAGAAGGAACAGCATCTTCTCAGCAGCGAGAATTGCATCGAACTCCCACCTTCGAAAACTATTTGCTTCTAGACTGCTATTCTTACTGAGCGCGATTCATATAATGTAGCTCCAAATCAGGGCAAAACCATAATTTAAGAGTTCGATGACTTTGCAGTTAAGCAAAATTTTAGTGGCTGAAGTTATTATATCAGAGCTGTTTTTGTTACTCTACTAACTAATTTGGCATTGACGGAGAGATTTAGTAGGGAAACACTGGAAACAATGCTTAAAATGAGAGAAAAGACGTGCGATCCCTTCATCATTTGTTAAGTCTTTTGGCCTTGTT